TCTCTCTCTCTCTCTCTCTCTCTCTCTCTCTCCTATACTTACAATGACATAATATTTGGTCACGTGATGCGTAAACAACAGCCGGTATATGCTTTTATTAAGAGAGCCGTAACCGGAGTCCAACATTAGTTGTAATACGTGCGACCAAAACAAGTCCTCGTTATCGGCGGTCAACGCGCCCACAATTTTGACCGTTTGGCCCACACTATGGCACAGGTATGTGAATGAAAATATATGAGCCACGGTGATTGTGGCTGATATTGAGCGCAATTCATCCAGCTCATTAACTTCTACCGAGTGATTAGGCCAGTAGTGATCGGCATTCATAGGCGGTGTGCGAGAGACCAATACAGTGTCCGAAAGGGCCGGCAATGCGGACCCAGTGGTGAGTGTTGTTACGAGCGTTTCGGATACTACTGGTGCGATGTCTGTGCCATTACTGGCCGACCCATTGTCTGTCACAATGACAGCTACTGGCGCTGCACTAATAGTGGGGTCAGTAGTGGTGAGCCATTCGCAACATTTCGCGGCAAACAATCGCTTCAAATCATTAAGTTTTGTGCACTCTTTGGCAGTCATGAGAAAATGGGGTACAAATGAGTGCATTGTATTGAATAGGGGGTAAGCGGCGGCCGCCGTCTCCCGGTTCGGACAGTTGGCCAAACACTGATCATTAAAATAAACATTAATTACAAATTTAAATAAACATGGTGAAATAAATTCACACACAATCCTTAAATACCTTTGTATACAATTTTAACGCATTGTGGAAGTAATTCATACACATGTCATAATCCCATTCATTGAAACCACTTTTAGACATTTGTTTGACAATAAAGTCCGGATGTTTAGCGCCTTTATTGGACAATATCTGCACTAACCGTATGACAGCCCACTTCTCGACGTCCACAAACTTTATAGCCGTCACCCATACTGTGTCCACACGTGCGGTGAATGTGATGTACGGCATGTGTGGGGAACTGCCAGTTGTGGCGAAAGTGTCTGAATTGAGCACAACGTCCAGATAGTTGATGGGCGCCGAGGGGTGAGAGCCCGGCGCTAATGGCGATGCTATTTGTGCAGACACTGGCAATAGTATAGGTATTAAAGGTTTGCATTGAGACAGTAGTGGAGGTGTCGGTGATTGGGGTTCCGGTGCCGGCACTGAACCGCTATTCATATCACTATTAATGCAGACATTTTGGGATGTGTTGTCACCGGCAGTCCAGCTCTTCCGGCCCTCATTATAGACACTGTCATCACTTTTGTTGATATAGTTTTCACTTAAGTTGAGTTCATTTTTCTCGTCTTGTATTTTATGGCTGTATTTGTGGCCAATATTTGAGTCCCGATTAATGTCCAAACCTATGGACTCGTTGTCCACTGTCTTCGGCCGCACCCGTAGTCTCGAGAGGTTTCTAATCACGTGTTCATCGCTGGGAATAATGCAATACTCGTTGAAATCCATGTCAAATATCTGTTAATAATTAAAATAATTATAGATTTTATATAATTAATGTTTATGTTTTAAACATGTGTTAAACATTAATGAAAATTAAAGTGTATGTGTAGTACACTATACAGGTGTACACAATAGGTGTGTATATCATGCATACCTCGAAGACATGGGTATTGGATGTAATGTTGTGTTTGATTTGTTTGCGGATCTCATTGTAGACCTGATTGAAGGGCAACACAACCGCTCTATCCGTACGATTAATACAAATGCTATAGTTTTCACATCCATTTAACTCTAATAATACTTTCATTATTACAACATTTAGTCGTTATGTTTTAAATTAATCAAAATAAATTAAATTAAATTGATTCAATACACATGAATACATATAACAAACGCTGATTTTAATGCACACATGTTTTAAACTAAAATGAATTATATGAAAATAATGTTACCAATACTTTATTGGCAATACATGAGACACAACAGCAAAAACAGTGGTTACAAAATATACAGTACATGCAAAGTGACCATGTGTACACTATGTAGCTCATTGTACACTATTTTTATTTTGTACTCTAATGTACACTGTATGTATTTTGTTCATTGTTCATAGAGAAAAATTAACTTTTATAAAACATTTTGTTTTGTGTAAACTTTACACTGTAAAGCATTGCTTGTAATGAACAATATGTCATGTTTTAAAAGTTTACAAATTGTAGAGAATTAATAATATTTATATTATTTTCAAATTGAATTTTACGATTCAATCACAAAAATGGCAATAAATTTCCAAAAAGATTAAAAATAGTCAAACAAAACAAATATAAATATATACAACAAAAATGTACATCAAATTCAACGACTAATTTTTGTATAGAAATAAAACAAAAATATATTTTTAAATTTAATATATAAAACATTTCATTCTTAATGAAATACCAATTTCTTAAACATTAAATAAATAGTTAAACGTTAAGTCAATAATTCATTAAAGTCTTGTTTCGCTGTAAAAATATACTCGATATAAATTAAAGGCAAATAAAACTATATTTAGGTTTTATCTAAATTGATAGAAATATTTTTGCATTAAAATAATTTTTAGACAAAGTTTTATGTAAACTATTAAAATCTTAAGCAGATTTACTAGAGCTATAATATAATATAAATTGATATTGATTTTAATGCAAACATCATTTTTACCATATATTTAGTGAATAAAATTGTATTATAAAAACATATTAGTAAGAATATTTTACATCTATTTATTTATTCCCACATGAATACAATATTTAGTCAAGAATTTGTATTTTTTGATTGGCATTAAATATTTATCATACTCAATCTACTATCGTTATAATAAACAGTAATATAATATTTCTATATTTAAAGTATAATAATTAATTGTGGCTATATTATTTATTTGGAAATACATTGAATTGTCGCTATTTTTTTTAACTAAACTTATATTTGATTTTAATTTCTATCGATTTAAATATTTTTGCAGCAAAACAAAACTTTAATGAATTATTTACTAAAGGTTTTTATAAGAAATTTACTTTTAATTAGCTGTTTAAGAAATCGGTATTTAATTTAAATGCAATGTTTTATATAAAACAAAATATATTTTCATTTCATTTATTTAAAATACAAAAACTTGAATTTGTGTTGAATTTGATTTACATTTTTGTAATATATTTTTGTGTTTCTATTGTTTGACTATTTTTGATCTTTTGGGAAATTTATTGCCATTTTTGTTATTGAATTGTAAAATATTATTTGAAAAT